GTGTTTGTAATCAATGCAACATTTACCTGAGATAAAGCTAATATTTTGTAGCATATGTGCAGTTTCAATACAAGCAGCTGAATATAGTGTCTTTTCATTATGAATTGTCTCCCTCACACACAGCTTTGAAAATGACAGGTTGTTTCTTCTGCTGTTCATCCACTAACTATGAGTTAGTAAGTTCACCTAATTCAAATTTCCTGTAAACTCATGGTTAAGCCTAGGTATGTGAGCACATCCAGCTTGACTTTGGTGAAATGTACAAAGCAGGTCTGAAAGGTTTTGGTGCCTTATAAAAAGTCTTCATGTGCCAACTAAGCAATAGGTGACCTTAGCTTCCTTCCTGGCTCTGGTTTTGGGAATATCTGTGCCCTGTAACAATTTATTTACTTATTTTAAGACCCAGTCTCATTATCTGTATCATTAAAGAGTTAGATGTATCTTCTCTGCTACTGTATGGTATTATACTGAAAACCTTCTATATCATTTTCCTAATACCAAAGAGGTGAGAGTTTAAAATGATGTCTCAATCCCCAAGGTATGCGTCAGGTAGCTTTCAAAACAGAAGAGTAATTTACCTAGGAAGCCATCAGGATTAATTAATTTAAATTAAAGATGTGGAAAACATGACTCAAGCCTTAGGGGGAAGCTTTAAAGCGTATAACAGATGAGAAACATACACACAGGAAGTAAAATACGGCCAACACAAGCTTAGTAACCAGGCGAAATAACTGCAGCAAGGGAAACCCAAGGTACTGGGGACACTGTGCACAGCATTGCCCAAATTCCACTGTGTTTACTTTTTGGTAATTTATGACCAATGCCACATACTTGAGGAACATCCCAAAGACAGGAACACATTCTGAGTTACAAATGAGGCAGAGCTAAGAGGACAAAAATCACTTGGCCATCTGAATGCTAGAGCAGAGAGAAGCTGTAATAACCATCTTCAATAGACAAAAGAAATATTACCCAAGATAAGGGACAGTTTCAGTCAGTTGGGTAGAGCCAGGGCTTATGCCACTAAGGGAAAAAAAAATTCCTGGCACCTGGGAAACAGAAGGTGTTTTTTCTCTGGGGATCCCTAAGCACAGAGAAGATGACTATATTGAGATAGTTTTAGTGTAGCTTTCTTGAAGTTTTAAGGATAACTAAGTGATGCATATCTAGTGATATACGCTTAAATCTCATAGATGTGGGTAAAAATAATTGCTTTGGTGCGGACTACAGTTACAAATCTGCCAGATAAAGATCCAAACTCATTTCTCCTTTGATTCTTTCAATTTCCTGCTCCCTTGAACCATCATAATAATCAACATCAAAAAAATTCTGATTAAGGTCTAGATGCATGTGTTATTTGGGAGCCCACAACCAGTGAGAAACACAGCATCCATCTTCTTGAGTGTGACAACTTTCTTTCCTTGAGGGTCAGGAATGCAACATGGAATGTCTATTTTAATGTTGTAGGGTTGAGTTCACTGATACTCAGTTTTCTATAGCTATGCTTTTCCAGTTTTCTTTATTTTTTAATGGCGAGAGAATGAGAAAAAGGGAGGCATTCATGGATGGCTTCCTATAGAGACTAATAGCATAGAGGGCAAGAGGAACGAGAATTAAACAGGTAGAAGCAGAAGAGGAAAAGCAAGAGGGGAAGACTTCTTTGTGCAGGAGCTAGATTAAGAAATGAGGAAAGGGCACCTTTAGCTCCATCTGGAGCTTAGGAGCTGAGTCCTAAGTGTTAGGACTGCAGTGCTGAACAGAGACCAGCCATGTCCCCCTTGTGCCTACTGCTGCTCAACCACAGCTACTGCCTCAGGGTCACTATCAGGGTGAAAGCAGAGCTGATCCTTCTTTGAAAGTAATTTGCACTCTCTAATTTCAGTATGAATATTTGTTCTACACCACATGAAAAAGATCTGTTTTTGTATATAAAACATAAATGTTGGGAGGCAGAGGCAGGCAGATCTCTGTGAGTTCGAGCCCAGCCTGTCTACAGAGCGAGTGCCAGGACAGGCTCCAAAGAGAAACCCTGTCTCAAAAAACCAAAAACCAACCAGCCAAACAAACAAACAATAAACAAAACAAAATAAAAACAAAAACAAAAAAGCCATGAATGACACTGGATTAACATATAGCACAAAATGCTTTCTCTTGGGGAAATCACTATAAATCTGAACTTTGCAGTCCTTTCCACTGTTTTTCTGGATATATATATTTACACTCACTTCCAACACCAGCAGTGTACCAATGAAAGACAAAAGACAGAAATTATTAAGGAGATTATGTGCATATATTACATAATGTTGTTGCTAAAATGCTTATATTTTCCTCTTCTCAGCTAAGGGTTTCCGAAACGTGCACAAAATATTTTGCAAAAAGATAAATATGGTAGCTTTGTATGAGTGTTCATTATAATGAGAAAGCCTTGTTTTTGTCTCTTTGCTTGAAGCATAAACAGCATTTTGGAACATGATGTGATAGGATGAATAGTTAGGGTCTTCCAGGAAGAGCCTTCCCATGTGAGATGAGTGCCCTTATCCGGGAAGCTGAATTAGGCTGTGCTGCCTTTTCCACCAAGGGACAATGTAGTAAGAGGTGCCAACTGTGGAACACAAGAGCTCATCAGGCACAAACTTATTAGCTTCTTGATCTTACAGGTCTCTGCCCTTAAGTATCTGAGCAATGGATTTCTATTGTTTTTAAGACACCTAGTCTAAGGTAGTGTATTACAGCAGCAACACAGACTAAGACAATTATACTTGCAATCTGTATTTACTCAATGTAGTTTTATTTTTTTACTTAGGGTTAATTTTACTTACTGTTTATTTTTTATAACTCTCCTTATTCAAAAAAGGATCTAGTAGGTAAATTATATTTCTCTTAGAATTTTTACTTAAATTGAGGATTTTTTTCTTGAACTATGTGCTGTGCAACTTATATAAATAGAAAAATATAATTCAATTCACAAAGTGTTACTTTATACAAAAGTGTTCAACTTTAGGAGACCATCAGTTTTGAAATTTTTTTTAACACATATGGTGCTGCAGATATGAGCAAATAGTCACCTATACACAACAATCCTTTAGTCATTAGCTGAATATACACAATCTACTTTAATCACTAGCTGAATGTACACAACATCCTTTAGTCATTAGCTGACTATACACTGAGGCCACCATGTCCCATCAATGACTTCTAATTTTCAGATATCGTATGTGAACATTTTCACAGTAAAGCCAGTAGGAGGCTAATTGAATTAGCCTTGCTGTCTATCTGGATCCAAATCTGGAGGGGAACCTGTGTAAGAACACACAGCGCAAGGTACCAGAAATGCATTTCTCCACTCTCTGCCACAAGAACAAAGCACACGAACCAATTAGTATAGATGAATCACGACTCTGTTCTTACTTCTGCTAGAGCCATCACACATATGAATCATTCATTTCCATTTCAAATGACTTAAACAGGGCCCAGAAAGAGCCTCTGAGTCATCATAATCTCTGATGGTAACAGCTCATATTCTCCATTTTTCTCTAAGAAATCAGTTACAGATCACAAGTCATTTCCACTGCATCAGGGAATGTATGTTACTTACTTAAGGGTAGACTAAATAAAGATAGCCAAATGATTCCCTTTACTGTGAACATAAATACCTGTCACATTAAACTTTCAAGCAGAGAAACTAAGTCATTTTTATAGTTACTGTTGGATTTAAATCCACTATTCATGACCAATTTCTTTCTTTAATTAAATTTAATTTAAATTTCTTTACATTTTTTAAAAATAAAAACTATGTCAAAGTTGCCATCTCAGTACTCTGTGTTCCTGATTCTAAATATCAGACTTTGTTTACCTTAATATCCACTGTTAAAAGCAGAGATCAACAAGTTTTTTGTTTGTTTTAGATCATGAACAATACAATGCATGGTAAGTACTAACTTTGACATTAAGTTGTGAAGGCATTAACGGACAATATATAAATTAATATGCAATTATGTTTCAATAAAACATTATAAATTGACAGTCAGACTGGATTTGCCCCACTGAACTGTATAGTTTACATCTTTTGAGGGCAATATTCATAAAACAGTAAAGAATTCAAGAATTGGGGTTGGAGGGATGGCTCAGAAATTAGGGGGCATTTGCTGCTCTTGCAGAAGTTCTGGGTTGGGTTTTCAGCATCCACATAGTAACTCACAAACATTTATGACTCCAGCTGTAGGGGTTAGAATGCCCTCTTCTGGCCTCCATGGACATCAGGCACACAAATGGCAACAAAACACACACAGGCAAGCACTCATTCCCATAAAACAAAAGTAAATAACTCTTCTTAAATACGAGAATGACAGCTGGGCGTTGGTGGCACACGCCTTTAATCCCAGCACTCGGGAGGCAGAGGCAGGCAGATCTCTGTAAATTCTAGGCTAGCCTGGTCTACAGAGTGAGTTCCAGGACAGGCTCTAAAGCTACACAGAGAAATGCTGTCTTGAAAAACCAATCATCATCATCATCATCATCATCATCATCATCATCATCATAATAATAATAATCATAATTTTCTGTGTTGCAAACAGAGGCTAATAGTTTTGTGTATTCTTTTCATTATTAGTTGTGGAGTTTTTAATTTGATCTTAAATAAAAAATTAAGTAACTTGTCTAGAAGGAAAGAAAACAATTAAAACATGTTTTATGCCTAGTTTGGTAAAGGAGAAAAAAATACAATGGCTCTATTGTTGTTTGTACTATAGGTGAGGTAGACAAAAGATCTTTTAATGAGTCCTCAAATACAGCTATAGTTCTAGTAAGTATGAATTCCGCCTTTTAATCCTAATTTAACACAATTCATTATTAATTGTTTAAGCTAGTTATTTCACTCTGCGATGGTCCTATCTTTTCTCACATCACTCTTCTTTGACCATGGCTTCAGAAAATAAAAGTTGAGTTTTGACCACAGTACCATAAGAGCTCCAGAGAACTAGAGTTATAGAATGAGTACTCACCCCTACATCTTTGAGTAAGTTCAAACTGGAAATGATCTGTGGCCACTGAGGCTAAATTATAATTCCAATTCCAGGAAGTTACAAAAGAAACGAATCTCTGTAAAAATATAATGAGGTCTAAGAATTAAAATTCAGTTATCTGTGTTAAAATGTAACAGTTTGAGGCATTTAAAAACACTGCTCTTTTTAGCATGGTTCAAGGGACTCTTTACTTGAACTTAGCCAAGAACCCAAGAATTGATTCAAAGGACTCTTTCAGAAGAGATTAAAAATCATGAAAATGCATAACAAGATACATATCTTTCATATTGTTCACTTGGAGTTGATCCATGGCTTGGCCTAGAGCCTTGCTGCAGAGCAGGCTAAATTTCCGTGATTCCAAAAGACAGGGCTATTTCCTGGAATGACCTCTGCTGTTTCTCATCTGTCAGTGAGCTGTATAGGAGGTGATCACTGCAGAGTCTATTAGCCAACCTCATGTCAATCCTTGTGGCCTTACCTCACTCTTCATGTTCCAAGTAATTTATATGTAATCATTTCTCCATGTTTTAGAGCTTACACATACATATATACTTTTCTTAGCTTTTCAAAATGTAAAATATGTTTCCTCAACAGATCATGAGAAAAATAAACATGTATACATATTTATTAGGTAAACTTAATGCTGTTTCACATTGCTTTCATCATTGATTTTTCAATCTGCCCACATTAATTCTGCTTTTTTCACTTTTATATTGACTGATTCAAATCATACAATTTAATTTTTTTCTTCACTAAAACACCGAAATTCATGTCTTATCTATCTAGACCAACACACATGTATTATGTATCCTATGTTTCAGGCCCTATGAAAAGAACTGAAGGCCAAAGATACAGTACCTCTTTAAGAAGAACTCTAATTGGGAAGACAGGTTAGACAATTAGTAGTTATCTCTTAACTATAGATCACAGGATAGCATCACTTCAGAGGAGAAAGAGAGATGTCCTTGTTTCAGGAAGAATTTCAAAAGATGTAATAGTGATATTAATCTCGAAGATGCGAAGAGAATTTCTAGGCTAATTATAGGAAAATATTTTTCCAAGTAGAGCAAGGATTATGTGTAAATACATGGAGCTGTGTGAGTACAGGATCACTGCAGGACATCATTCAATGTGGCCAAAGAGAAGGGTGAGGAGAGATTTGTGTAAAATGAGGCTGCAGGCATGAGATTGAGTTACATCATGCTTAGGTGTCTGGTCTCTGTTAATTCCACAGTGCACTGTGTTCTAAACCATTTAATTGTTTCATTTAAAGAGTGAACCAATTTATATTTGGTATTATTGTCCAGTAAAGAATGGAACCATGAAAGGCTGGAAGGAGGAGTATAGATGAGATGACTACTGTAATAATTCAGATAAGAAATGAGGAGAACTGACAGCAAGTCAGTAGCAGTGTGGCTGGAGAGAAGGAGAGACCAAAATAACAATTTCTTGTTTATTCTAATATTTACCTATTTTCCAGATATCAGGCCTTCTCCTCATGAAATCTTCTGTCTAGGAAGAGTACTGAGTGAAGTTATATTCAGCTTATGGTACATTGGAGAGAATGATTTAGTTTGAGTAGTTAGGTCAGGTTCATAACAAACGGTGGATTTATGTTCACATACCCGTGGTTCCAAGTTCAAATTACAAACTTTTGGATCAGGTGTCTTAGTGAAGTTTTGGTTGTGAAAATGGAACCTGAGATTGGTAATTCATAAAGAAAAGTGGTTTATTTAGGCTCCCAGTTTTGGAGGTCAGAAAGGCCAGAAAGTTTCAGATTGAGTGGCTGATTCTGTTTGGCTTTTGGTGAAGACCTCATTAGGTAGAGATCACATGGTAAGTGAGGAAGCAAAAGAAAGCCAAGACTGGGCTCTCTCTCCTAACAATTCCTTCTCAATGTATATAGTTCAGTCATACGGAAGTGTGAGGTCACTCTCATTTGAAAAGCCTAAGTCAGTTAAAGCAGTTCTGTCTTCATGACCCAAACACTCCCATGATGTCCCCTTCCCAACCCCATTGAACCATCACCCAAAAGCAATCAAAATTTAACAAAAGTGTCAGAGTGCACAAACATATTCTAACCATAGCACCAGGGGAAGTGACAGTTTTTAACAATATCAATAATATCAAGCACAACAACACAAGTTCTAAAAAACACGGACCAATTGGTATGAAGCAGCCATGTGCAATCTTAAGAAAGGTAGTCTGCAGAAAGCACATATGATGAAGACCAGATGGCAAAGGGCAGAGAAATGAACAAGAGGCGAGGAGGCATTAGCAACGCTGAAAACAAAGTGGTTCTAAATTTTTCACAGCTTTCCAATTGCTTTTCATAGATTATGCCTCAAATTACTCCACTAACATATGGAAAATTTACCCGCGTCTACTATATTACATGTCAGAAAGTGGCACTTTCTAAATAACGGCTGAATGCATAATGTTTACTCTAGCAGGGATTCTGAAGAGAAACTGGAAATACTTAAAACCTATGTATCTTTTGACAGGTCTTCTTGATTTTCAGCCGTAAAGAAGAAATGTTCATTTACTCTTTGTTTCACGAATTTCTTATGTCCCTTAAAGAGTGAGAGAAAATGTCAATAAGAAATAGTCAGATTCTCAGAAGGAGTTCACAGAATGCATCAAAGTTGGGGCCAGGAGCATTTTTCTCATTCCCAGATGCTTCCAGATGTCACATTCCCAACTCTCTCCTCCAGCACTAAATGTCTTTTTCTTTCTTTCTTTCTTTCTTTCTTTCTTTCTTTCTTTCTTTCTTTCTTTCTTTCTTTCTTTCTTTCTTCCTTTCTTTAAAAGTTTTAAAATTACAATTTAATTGAAAGGTTTTTTCTTCCTATTCCTCCAATCAAACCCTTCCATTTGCCTCTTCACTCTCTCTAAATTTGCCTCTTCAAATTCATGGCCTCTTTGTCGACTAGTTGTTATTTCCTGCCTGTATGTATATGTGCATATACATATGAAACCTGTGCAGTCCATATCATATTACTTGCATGTATGTTTAAAGGGCTGACCATTTGGCACTGGACAACTTTTTCTGCTCTTGATCTTTTCCTCTTTCCTGCTCCTCCTCTCTGTGCTAGATCATATGTTCCAGCTGTTGGCTTGTGCTGACTACTGGCTTCATTCATTCATCCTATTTGCAAACTGGACCTTAATTTCCACTATTACCCAACATTCACTTATTCACCTCACAAATGCTAAAGCATGTATGTGGCAACACTGCTTTGGGTATGGCATGGTAACGAGAGTGAATGGCAAATAGAGCAAGTTTACTTTGAAGAATGCATCCCAACTTGACAGTGTAAGAACTTGATTTGACATCAATTTAACCGTCAAATATTTTTGAGATTTTCATAAATGAATACTGCCTTCACATTATTTACATACCTCCTTCCAGCTCCACCCATGTTCTCATGATCCCCCCTTCTCAAATCCATGATCTCATCTACTACTTATATTTATATATAATTTAATATATGTAATATATAACTATTGATTTACACACATGTATATAACCTACTGAGTCCATTTAAGTGTTGCTCATATGTACATGTTTTTAGAGCTGGCCACTTGAGACTGGATAACCTATTAGGAAGCTCATTTTTGGAGAAAACTGATTCTCCCTGTCTCAGTAGCCACTGACTGACTGTAAATCTTTATTTATGCTCATGTGGTCATTAGCCCTTATGCAGGCTTCATCAATTTACACATTTTTTTTAATCATGAAAAGTTTTTATTTTAAAATTATTTCTTTTATTTTTTGAGATTAAAATATAATTACATAATTATATTGTATTTTTGAATTGATGGCCATCCTCCAAGATACTAACAAATATTCTCTGTTTTAATTTAGTTTGGCCCAAACTATTAAAGACTTGTTCTCTTTGTCTTAAATTCTCATGATCAACTACATTTTAGATAAGTCTCCTCTGTGTTCCTATGCAGAGACAGTGATGAGGTTTCTTTTGTCGGTACCTTCTACCCATCCTTTTAGTTTACTAGGTACACCGCTTAGAACCATGGCCTCATTTTGGCTACCTAATTTTATATTTAATATGAAAATAAAACAATCTGCACTGACATGCGTGTATTACAATTGCATAGATAGAAACCCTTCCATTTGTATAAGTCATTAATACAAATATTGTAAGTCATTTTCTTACTTAGGCTGGCTCTATGGAAACACATCTTCCATGTAAAAGGAACTACAAGTAGTGCTTTAATCATTTATTTTTGACACTTGGTCACTATTAAGTAAATGTTCTCAGTCCATTCATAGCAACACACAGGTTTGTAATTGGCTCTTCATTAATTGGAGCTTGCCCCCAAGAGATGTACTATTAGTACAGCAGGAAGCCTTCCATGTGGACAATACAAAGGTAGTCAGCCACTCCCCACTCCGAAGGGCAAGCTGAGATAAGGAAGTTCACATGGCTTAGTTTAAAGGATGAGGAAACTGAAGCTCACAGAAAAGAGATTATTATTTACATAGGTCTTAGAACCTAGTTATTGCTTCTTTTCTTTTTTACTCGATGGCCTAACTTATGATCTCATACTATCAATATGTGTGTTTGTACAAATCACTTTTTTCATGAATGAGAACTCTTGCTTTCAGATTATTCATATTCTTGGCTTTGTAGCTTCAGTTCAAACTGTAATTCCTTCCCATATAAAATCTGAAAATTTATGTCTATTTTTTTTTTTTTGCATGGGAAACTAACAAAAGCAGAAAAATTCTTGTAAAGTTTATAGGTAATTTTTTTTCACTAGCTGCTTTTTGGACATAACTCTCCCTTTAAAAAGTACTATAAATATTTCCATGACTCTTTTACACACATGACCACCCCCATCAAGTTTCCCACAAAGGATTCAGTCACTTAACCAAACTTGGTTTTTAAGTTGATTGTAATGACTTTACCAGATTGCCTCTGTGCTCACACATCTACTGTAACAACAACAACAACAAACCAGTAGTGTGATCTTGAGCAAGGAGGAACTTGAGCAAGGAGGAATACTTTGAGACAAACATGTAGAAATGTCTAGAGCACTGGAAGAGAGGAGTAGAGGGATGGCTAAAAGTGCCTAAGTTTTCTAGTTTTAAATGCTTCCTCCAACCAAAGTACCATTCAGCTCAGATGGGAAGCAAACAGATGCTAGATAGAATGTGTGAACTCATATTCAGGCCATGGTTCTTCAGTGCCAAAAGACTTTTTGTTTCCCTTTTAACAGTGTTTCATTCTGTAGCCTAGGGACCCATGGTTATCCTCCTATCCTGGCATGACAAGCACTGGCATTATACCTTTGAGCCACTACACCTGTTTGAAAAAAGACATTCAGGCAGGTTGGAAAAGAATCACTGAGTGGGTTGAAATTCTTAAGGCATATGGGCAAATGAGCCTAAGATAGTTGAAGCAGTTTTCACCTCTCCCCAAATAAGCCATCCATACTGTAGTTGGAGCCTGTGATGAAGCTCAG